TTACAGAGGTTACCACAGTCGGTTCAAGGGATCCTCGCACCCTTCCATAAGTGCCCCTTAATAGAGCTGGCGGAAGCGGCTGACAGAGCTGTGGATGCTACGAAACCCAACACTAGTATCTCAGCTGCACTGTCTACTGCCACGGATTCGTCCAAAACCCACATCCTCCTTCGGCTGTTGAGCCAACAAGTTTCGATGTTATAGCTCACATCTCGAAATTGTATGAGAGTTGTGCAGCATCAGGAACGAAATGCGGTCTGGTAGTGCTTCCAACGGTCGCACGTCTCGCTCGCGCAACAGGTCTGCCTCCCGTACCGATAGCAGACGTTCCAAATCGCGACAATCCCAACCCAGGTTGTGCTGGTACCATAAACGTTATGGTGCCAATGCCAAAAAGTGCACTCGACCTTGCACCTTCGAGGCTAACCAGGCGGGAAACGTGTGAGCCAGCACGTGACGGCGACTAACGTCGCTGGCGAGCCACTTCCATGTCGCCTCTTCTTCGTCACTGATCGACATTCTGGGATACGCTTCCTAGTTGACACTGGGGCAGAAGCTAGCGTCATCCCACCTACGAAGGAAGAGCGTCTGCGGCCAATGTCTCTGCAACTTCGTGCCGCCAACGGTTCGCCCATCACAACCTATGGTCGGAGATTCCTCGATCTCAACCTTGGATTGCGTCGTCCCTTTCGTTGGGTTTTCATAGTGGCAGATGTGACCACCGGCATTATTGGTATGGATCTCTTGCAGCACTATCAGCTGCTGGTAGATGCTGGCAAGCATAAGTTGATAGATTCTACCACAACACTCTCTGTTTCCGGTATAGTCACAAAGACGCCGCCCCTCAGTCCCGTGTACTGCACGACGGACGCTTCTAGTCCCTACGCGTCTATCATTCAGTCCTTTCCGGATGTCTTTAAGCCAAGTCGTTGTGTCCCTTGTGTGACTTCGAACGTTTCTCATCACATAACGACGACTGGCCCGCCAGTGTTTGCGAAACCACGGCGATTATCCCCGGAGAAACTGCGTGCTGTAAAAGCCGAGTTCGAACACATGCTTGAAATGGGAATAATCAGACCATCCAACAGTCCATGGTCTTCACCCTTGCATGTGGTACCCAAGAACAATGGCATGGACTGGAGGCCTTGTGGTGACTACCGAAGGCTCAACGCTAAAACGATTCCAGATCGTTACCCAGTCCCTCACATTCACGACTTGACTGCATCTTTAAAAGGCTCGGTTATCTTCAGTAAGCTTGACTTGACGCGTGCATATCATCAGATCCCGGTTCATCCTGATGATGTTCCCAAGACAGCCGTCATTACACCGTTTGGTCTTTTTGAGTTCCTCCGTATGCCTTTTGGTCTTCGCAATGCAGCACAAACCTTCCAACGTTTTATTCACGATGTTTTACGTGGACTCGATTTCGCCTATGCCTACCTAGACGATATACTAATCGCTAGTCCAGACGAAGACACTCATTTTAACCACTTGAAACAGGTTTTCGCCAGACTGTCAGAGCATTCGATGACAGTCAACCTGGCCAAATGCCAATTGGCGTTCGTTCACTAAAATTTTTGGGACACGTTATCGACGAGCAAGGCATTCGCCCACTACCTGAAAAGGTACAGGCGATCCAAGACTTCCCAGTCCCAGCGTCACTTAAAGCTCTGCGTGTGTTTTTGGGTATGGTGAGCTATTATCGTCGCTTCGTTCCCCAATGTGCACACATTTTGACTGCACTGACCGACCTGCTGAAAAGTAAATGTAAAACTTTCAGCTTGACTCCGGAGGCACTAGAAGCATTTCGCAAGATCAAAACCGCAATAGCAGACGCCACGATGCTGGTGCATCAAGACGTAAACCTACCTCTTAGCATTGCGGTTGACGCCTCTAACACGGCCATTGGAGCTGTGTTGCAACAACTTTCGGATCACACTTGGATCCCAGTTGCATTCTTCTCTCGGAAGTTATCCACCTGCGAAATGCGGTACAGCACTTTCGGCAGGGAACTGCTCGCCATATATGCCTCAGTGAAACATTTTCGTCATTTTGTGGAAGGTCGTGACTTCATCATCTTTACCGACCATAAACCTCTGACGTATGCCTTACACACCACTACTGACAGATATTCACCGCGTGAATTACGTCACCTAGATTATATTTCGCAATTCACGTCGGACATCCGTCATATTTCTGGTGTGAATAACCCTGTCGCGGACGCACTGTCTCGCGTTTGCACCACTACTTTGCCTCGAGCAGTCGACTTACGGAAGATTGCCGAACTTCAGGATTCAGACGAGGAGATTGAAAAACTTCAACACTCATCCTCTCTGAAGATACAGCGTTACCGCTCCTGAACAGTGAAGTGTCAATATTGTGCGACACCTCCACAGGCACACCCAGACCGGTTGTTCCTTTATCCTTGCGTAAGCATGTTTTTGATGCTTTGCACAATCTTTCACATCCTGGCATCCGCGCCACTGACAAGCTCATATCTGCTAGGTTTGTTTGGCCTGGTATTAACCGTGATGTTCGAAACTGGACACGGTCATGTATTCAGTGCCAACGTTCCAAGGTGAATCGTCACAACATCCCACCACTTGGAACTTTCGCCAAACCTGACTCACGATTCGCTCATGTCCACTTAGACATTGTCGGCCCACTTCCACCCTCCGATGGATATAGTTACCTACTGACATGTGTCGATAGGTTTACTCGCTGGCCGTTAGCCATCCCACTGTCTAACATTACTGCCGAAACAGTAAGTCGGGTTTTCGTCGAAGGATGGGTTTCACAGTTTGGATGCCCTTCCACCGTGACAACCGACAGAGGCCAACAGTTCGAATCCGCTACCTTCCAGAAGCTGATGAATCTGTTGGGATGCAAACGCATCCGCACTACCGCATATCATCCAGCTTCCAATGGTTTGGTCGAGCGATTCCACCGACACCTTAAGAGCGCACTAATGGCAGTCGACAATATGAAATGGACTGAGTCTCTGCCGTTGGTTCTTCTCAGCATCCGTTCTACACTCAAGACTGATATACAGTGTACACCTGCTGAGTTAGTTTACGGTGGTAACTTACGTTTGCCGGGTGAGATGGTCGCTTCAGACTGCAGTGACCCAACTCCTACCGATATCCATGGCTATGCTCAAACTCTTAAGTTACACATGCGTCGCCTCCAACCCTCATCCACACGGATACAGTGTAGACGGGTGCAGCTGGATAAAAGACTCCAAGATTGCACTCACGTCTTTGTGCGTTGTGACGGTGTACGTAAGCCCTTACAGCCACCATACGACGGACCCTTCAAGGTTCTCAGTAGGAAAGAAAAGTTTTTCGTCATTGACAGATCTGGACGGCAGGATTCTATAAGTGTCGATCGTTTGAAGGCAGCTTATATAGAGGACGACCCGCCTTCCTCTACACCGACACAACTAGAAAAACCCTTGCCGCCAGACTCCCTAACAGACTCGTTTAGTCGCGCGTATCCTGAACCTTCTAAAAGAGCCACGTCTAGTAACACTGATCCAGTAACCTCTACACGTGCTGGGAGGCGTGTACATTGGCCCAAGCGATACGCCGAGTTCGTTAATTAGCCCCAGAGCAACTTCACACTTGGTGAATTCGGAGTTTCAACTACTTTGTCGTGGCATACACTTTCAATGCGTTTTCATACCTAAAGTTTTCACAAGTCTTGTTTACTACTTTGCAAACAGTTTTTTTTTAAAAAAAAAAAAGAAAAACCAAAAATACAATTTAAATTCCGAAAACTTTTTTTGGTTGGTTATTATTTTTTTTTCTGTACTACTCCCACTTCGAATTTTTTGGTTTTCCTTTTCTTAGCACTCTTTTTTTTTTTTTTTTTTTTTTTTTTTTTTTTTTTTTTTTTTTTTTTTTTTTTTTTTTTTTTTTTTTTGACGATGCTACTTGGATCGTTCTTCGGTTCTCTTTGTACCAATTTCCCCCTGTACACCCCCCGGTAGATTAAGAAGCAATAGGGAAAAGTAGATGGAGGCTTTGGGTCACCTTCCACCACTGCGAGAAGGGTTGCGTCTAGACGCAAAGTTATCTTACCTCGTAGGTGTGCATAGTTGCACTAGCTTCGGAGACCCACACGTCACCTACTCCATCACCAATATGGAAAGGTGTTGCGTGTCCGCCTCGCAGTCGCCTCCTAGGATCGAAGGTTGCCGGTATCCCAACAACCTTCTAGGAGGGGGATAACCTGTAGTGCACCTTCCTGGCACCAAAATATAACTAGGGCTAAAATAAATAGTTTAAATTAAATTAACTAAATAAATCTCTAGCTTGCCTCCGGATGCTTAGGGTGTTTTAAGTTTTGTTTTAACGAGCATGCATCCGAGCAGGCTTGGACGCCATTTTTGCGCTCCATTGTGCTGATTACCACGCACGTACTCTGAGTCCCTAGTTCAGCCTTACAAGCCAGATAAGTTGATTAAACTTTTCCCTCATTCATTATTATTACATTTACCTGAAATACATAGCTCCTTTAAATACATTGCGTATCACTTCTTTTGATTTGTGTTTTGTTACCAGTACTTACACGTTAGGTAAAGTATTGGTTAAGCAGGTACTAGAGCACATCAAATTAAGTAGGGTTGATCAAACGTTACGGAATTGTAACACGCATCCCTACACATACATTTAACCTCGTCTTAACCGCTATACTTAATCCGATTATCTCATTCTCCCTTCTTCTCTTTTACTACTTTTTATTTCTTTAACCGATTTTGCTTGAGTAAATTTATGCCAGTAATGCTATTGTGTTGCAGCTTCATCAAGATCTGTTTACTTCTCAGTTATGCAATAACAGATAACAAACTTTGTATTTGAAGTGATCAATTTAGTTGGGATATAAATATCGGTTAACAATGGAATGAAATATCCGAACTATTTTACCAATAACGATTATTTTCACCAGGACTATCTACTTCATTGGGTTAGAAGACAAAGGTTGATCTACGACAGTAAAGAGGATTTTCATTCGGTAGCCATACACACACATACCCAAGGAAATCAAATACTCTGTGGAAAAATGATTGATTAATTATTGTTCACTAGTTCAATAGAATGCTAAATTGGTCACACAATAAAATGAATAAAAAATCGAAGCTCAAACAAATTCTAACTCACTAGTAGTGAATGACTTCAACTATTAATTTCTACATAAGCTAATCTCTATCGATCTTCTACAATCAGAGTTAATAGTTATATAATTGGTAACAGTTGTTGACTAGATGAATAGTGTTCCTATATATCAAAACTATGACTTTCTGAGTTTTAACCTCTGACGACTTGACAATAATTTTAATCAAAATAGGCATTATTATTTCAATAAAGTGTACATTGTACAGTTGTTTTGTTTTTTTTTTTTGCTTTTTGATAGCATACAATTAAAACAAAAATTATCTATATAACAAAATGAATAGTAGAGTAAATAAATCACTGACCCTATAAATAATTTGCAATTATAGATTCATGTAATAGACTATAACTGACTACCATCTTTCATAAGACATTGAGTAATCTTGCTTGAAAACATCAGTTGAGAGCAAAATCCTTCGGCACAGTATACACACACACATCCATACAAATTGAAACTGTTTTACTAAGATACTATTAAGCATGCCTAAATTATCTGAGGTATATTTTTTGTTCACAATTGGTAAATGGTTCTTCATATGTATGACTATCTCTTCTTCTCTTGTCCTTCCACTTAAGCGGGATTTCAAGTGATTCTCTTCATTTACATTACACAGCTAAACATATATAAAGATTATACACAAGTGTGAAGATAGATTAGAGCAAACAAAGATCAGAAATAATACTTTACATAAATAAAAGTAAGAATTACGAATTGTAAGCATAATAAAATTAGTTTATGAGAAATATTCGTTACACGTATCGCTGTATTACAACCATCTCTATCTTGACAATAACAGACTTCTTTGTATACACCTTGCTCTTCAAACCAATAACGACAACTCCATGCTAAGCCTATATAACACACAAATAAGAAAGAAAATAAAATGGGTGCTTAGAAATCTACCCAATCAATATCAACAGAGGACCAGGCATTCTTAATTAACAGTTCCAGTTCCCACACCTCATATCAGAACAATGAGATGAAGAAAGAGAGAAAACATGATCAAAAGCAATGGACAGCAATGAGAGAGAGAGGAGAAAATGCAGAATTCAGCATCGCGGTTAAGATGTAGCAAATATGAGGTTAAATCTGCACAGCTGAGCCACTTCATGTAGACTTTACAATCACTGGTTTCTGTTATCATCCACACACCAATCGCATAGTCTGCATCTCTAACTAGCAGTTAAAGACTTCGTGTAGTGATGCCAGATTTCAATCTGATTGTCCCGAGACGTTTTTCCAGCCTGAACCTACTTCAATCAACAATTTGCAACGAGAAAGATGGTGGAAAAGCATGCGTAACATGCCCCAGCCACCTTAGTCTACGAAGGTTCACAACCTTCCTCTTCTCCTTGAACCCTACATCTGAATTCTCTATTATTGACATGGTGACACTACAACACAGACTATACTACTTAGAGGAGGGTGATCGACAACCCGCCGCCCTCTCGTGTCCTCCACCTTCGATCAATGACCAAGCCCCATAGTCAGGCAGTCGAACAGAACGAGATGCAGCTCAGTACATTCGATCATTAATAGACAATCAGATATCACGGCGGCATCATGAGTGGCATTCGTTGGAGAAAGACGATCGAGGCTTTTGTATTGGTGTAGAGATTTCGTCGGTCACCGATCCACTGGAGGTGATCCGAATTTCCAGCCAAGTGAAGCGGCCATCTCAGTCAACCACTACACCCTCTATTGTTAAGGAAGATACCACTGAAGACCAGCCATGGAGCAACAACTTGCATTTGAGTTGTGAGAAACGCATCTCAGACATTCTCAAATCATCCACTCAGGGTGTGGCGTAACCTAACAGGACTATATCACTTGTGAATCGTCGATCTACTAAGGATCCTCCTGTGACAAGGTCAATTAATGCAGTGTGATAGGACAAGAGGGAGACCAGCTTAATTACGTTTATGATAAAAATGAATGAGAACGGATAGAGCGGATGTACAGACCCTCCAACACAGTGGTGTGCTTACTTGGCACTTCTTTCAATGGGAAACACTGCCATGAAACCTCTCGATCGACGGAGTCCAACGCTGTCTTTAGGTCGAGAAATACAGCCAGTGTCGGGCGTTGATAAATGTGTGTATGTTCAATAACCTGGAGGAGTGTAAATATCTGATCAATACACTGAAAGCCAAGTCTTTAGCCAGCCTGATTTTGTCGGGTTTGCTCTCCCGAGCTCCACTCAGAAGCTTAGTGATTACAAAACCTGGAATCTACTATGCTGTATACTGCTGAATTAAAATTAGGTTGGAAACGAGACTGAGAATTGGAAGATAAACATATGGCAGCATTTCATTAACCGTATGGCTGGTAATATGGGTCGTATCCAGAGGTATAAGTCTTCTGATTGGGCAAAATACATCAGATATGATCAAAATTAAGTTCAATTATCTTATTCTCAAACCATCTTGTCAGGTGGAAAACTGGAATTGTTGTATTTCAAACACGCCAAGACTAATAAACCTTTTATTTACACTGTTTGGTCACTGGAAAGTAGCTATTTTCATATTGTTTGATATTCAATGCTGGACGATATTTATCGATCATTTTACAATGTATTAACCAACCGACTTCGATAGTAGCTGGTCAAAGGTAATCGGCAGGAAATCTAGGATTTCGGTTTCAGGCTTAGTAGGTCTCAGCAACAAGATGTATCTGCAGCCTTTAGGGACAGATACCCAGCCTCCCCCCCCCCTGCTTCAAAGATTTGAACCCGTATCACCCAGTACTGCAACCAAACATCTATTCTCTTACGGTTGCAAAAACACCTTGTTGATGGGTGAAGAGAAGCATAAAATTTAGGTTTATGGCTTCATTCCAACTGTAGCGAACCAACATATATGACATACTTCAGTCTACGATATAATTGATGCTGGGTATCTCTAAACCTAAAGGTTTAACCATGACTACAAAAATTCGAGGCAGTTTCTCTTTTAAAAGGTAAGGAAGTAACTTCATTAACCCACTTCGTCCTTTTCTGTCATTTGCACGCCTTGATTTAATGAATTAGTGTGAGTATTCTCAAAGTACACCGTATACAGCTTTCAGATGCTTAGCACATATCCAAAGTTCTATTACATCTGTTACCTATGTTACGAGTGATGCAAAGCACGAAATATGGGTCCTATGCTTACTATCGATTAAGCTCTACATACTCTTAGTAATAAAGGTAGTTGTTTTTCATTATGGTTGGTATGCGACTAGCTATTCCTTGGATTGAAACTCAGTAACATGACAGAGGTCTATGTATTGGGCTATAATTCATATTTATGAAGTGAAGGCTTATTTTGCTACAAGATAGGTAAGGGTGAGAATCAAACCCATGACCCATTCCTTGAAAGTTGAAAATATACGCTAGTGAGTCATAACTTGTGGTATGGAGAGATTGTTTGAAATTATTACGTAATCATAGTAACCAATATTAAAGTAATATTTTTCTAAAAGAAATCTCCTCACCATAATCAGTTCGTGCACCACAACTTCGAGTTATTTTGATCCATGAATTCCAACCAGTACTTTCTTGATATACTTTGACACAAAATGTTCCTGGTGAATGAGATAAGAAACTACTGCAGTCAACCATTGCATTCAACCTGGTATCAAAATATCTTCTAGCTGGACATGAATCGTCTTCATTGCTATCACACTGATAACACTGAATAGCTGATATCTCTATAAAATAAAGATAAAAATGGTTCCGTAAACTTATGGAATATGAACACACACAATTAAAAAACTGCGCCAAGATTTTTCGCTAGGCTATCATTTTCAACTGTTGAGTTTGTAGGCTTGTGGAGAGAGGGCAGTGATCGTCTTGTGATAGCCACAAGTAAATCGGACAACTGAACATAGTGGTTAGGATTCTTGGTCCCAGAACAATCGAAAGTCTAAATGTAGCTCGGGAAGAGCAAACTTAAAAACACCAGACAGGCTTCAAATTCGGCTGCGAATGCACCGACTGGATATTTACAATCTGCTCGGTTCAGAAACACATAAACTTACCGTTACTACTTGTATTCCTTGACCAAAAAGCGGCATTCCCCGACCGAGAGGTTTTATAACTATTTCTCACTGAAGGGGGTGCCAAGTAAGCACACCACTGTGTTGAAGGCTTTGTAATCGAACACCCGTGGGCGTATTAGAGCCTATAGTGAGTGAGGTATCACGTGAGTAGCGTCCTTCAAATAGTGACTATTATGGATGTCTACTCTCTCAATTCTTGTTCATTTTTATCATAAACGTAATTAAGCTGGTCTCCCTCTTGTCCTATCACACTGCATTAATTGACCTTGTCACAGGAGGATCCTTAGTAGATCGACGATTCACAAGTGATATAGTCCTGTTAGGTTACGCCACACCCTGAGTGGATGATTTGAGAATGTCTGAGATGCGTTTCTCACAACTCAAATGCAAGTTGTTGCTCCATGGCTGGTCTTCAGTGGTATCTTCCTTAACAATAGAGGGTGTAGTGGTTGACTGAGATGGCCGCTTCACTTGGCTGGAAATTCGGATCACCTCCAGTGGATCGGTGACCGACGAAATCTCTACACCAATACAAAAGCCTCGATCGTCTTTCTCCAACGAATGCCACTCATGATGCCGCCGTGATATCTGATTGTCTATTAATGATCGAATGTACTGAGCTGCATCTCGTTCTGTTCGACTATCTGACTGAGATGGCTGGGAGATGTTGCGCTTCCCTAGTCACAATCTGCCTCGTTGCAGAATGTTAGTTGAAGTAGTAAAACGATGGTAAGGGGTGATCAGATCAATTCGTGGCATTGTCGCATGAAATTTTTGACTATTGGTCGGAACAGTGTAAAGAGGTGTAGACTTTGCGGTGGAATCTTGATGACAACAGAAATCAATGGTTGAAGACTCTAGGGGAAATGGCTCAGAATCGATGTCAGTGGCGCAGATTTATCTACACGTCATGCTTATCTTTAAATTCGTGTTGAATTTCAATAACCTCTTATTCCTTCTTTCCCTCGTTTTACCACGTTTACGATTTTAACTGCTTTCTGTCTTCTTCCTCCATATTTTATCTTGTTGTCTTATTACTCAATTTGATGATAGTGTGCCAACTTAGGTCATTATTCGGGAATATCAGGTACTATGTTTATATTGCCTGTCTCTGTCTGTATGCTTGTGATGATACTACTTGGCTGTTCCAACCCTGAGTTTGAACCTGTGATCCACCACTTTTTGAAAGTCAGGTGTCTACCTAAATGGACTTCGCCAGATCTGTCAAATATCGATGAAAATATTTCCCATACATTTCACTCTAAATATCTGAATAAACTGATTTGATTGTTGACGAAGATAGAAGACTATTTCATCGAAGAACAAACCCCACTTGCTTCAATTACAGTATTTCTGAAAGCTTTCTTCTTCCTATTACCTCGTAATTGACAAGATAACATAAAAATATTTATCAACAAATAAATCTTGGCATCTTATTTATCGATTTACTTAGGAGGGAACTGATTCAACTGACAAATATCTCATAAAGACGATTGTTATAGGCTTACCTTCTATCCTCATATAAGAAATATGATATTTGCTGACTAGGGTTATATAGAAGTATCGGTAACTTACATTATGGTATGCGTGGCGAAACAACTCATTAAAATAACCTTGATTGTACCAGTCCAAATTTGAAGTATTTTAGAACCCTAGCGTACCGTAAAGGGTATACCACAGGATATTCATTGGAACCATATGCTTCAGTTGACACTCATCTCAGACGCCCTTAAAACTTTAAAAAATGCTTCGCCTCTTGTCTCTGGTGACATTTATGTATGAAAAAGAGGGGAGAATATTATTTCCTGATACCATAATAAGAGGGTTTCTATTGCCATAGACTATTTTTTCTTATTTCTCTATCGTTCCTTAGTGTTTTAATGACTTCACATAATGCTTTTCGTAGCTTCAATACCTTTGTTCCGTGTTCACTAAAATTCATACATTAGGGTCTTTATTCCAATATCTCTTTCTTAGTCGTTCATGAACATTACTTATAGTCACGACTGCCTACCTCCAGTGTGAACCTGAAATGACTACTAACTGGGAATCCGTAGAATGTTAGTAATAATTTCCGTGAGAGAAAAATATCCTATGGGTTAATTCACCTAGTCTTCAGGGAAAGGGATAGTAGGCCATCTGCCTGTGATAATCTTTTTGATCGGTAACTCCATGAAGGTTTAATTTTTTCTTTGAATGAGATCATCATAGAAGCTGCTACTACTTGTCGCGTCATTGAACACCCTATGGGCGGACGGGTGCTCCACTCAAATATGATTTGACGTTGGTATCCGGATCTTTTTTTGATGTGTTTAAAAGTAATCGGTCCTAGAAGGAGTAAAGAAACTGGATAAGTCAATACCCAGGTTATTATTCGCAACGAGCATGGCTAAAATCAAGTCTCCTCTTTTTCTCCAACACAGTGACGGAAAAAGGTTTATCTTTGCTAGTTATTCTTCATAGGGAACGTGGCTAAGACTTGTCACTAGTTTAGTTGCAACCCTTAGGACCTGTTTTAGTGCGTCAGCTTCCTTTCCGAAGCATCGACTAGCCATCTTTATACAGTACTCTAGATAAGATCTTACATAAGTGCAGTATCAATCCTAACCAACTCATCAAGTCGTTTGAATGCTCTACGAAGCGACCAAAGCATGCGAAAAGCTTTAGCTGTAGAAGTATTACAGCTAGCAGTAGTTCATATATCGTGACTTACGATAAATTCTAAATCTTTTTGTTTTAAAATCCGAAGTATTAAGTTGACCATTCTCAATGAACATTACCACACTTTTGCTGGAATTGGTATCCAGGCTCCATCATATAGACCACTCAACTAGTTCATCGATGTCAGCTTGGGGTGTGATCCTATCATCATTTCACATGGTCCTTCATATCTTGACGTCGCCAGCAAATAGCACTCATAATGACTTGACCATCTTTGGTATTTCATAAAAGCAACCAAAACACTGATGAAATTAATAAACATGTAATTGATAGGCGGTTATCTATCACCCCCCTTAAACACAAAACTTATCATAACATCCTTCGAATTTCTGTGGAGATGTGTCTGAGATAAGGACATTGAATAACACAGCTAAGGGTGAATCAACAAGATTGACCAGCAACAGCAGAATCCTAGTATGAAATCCGTCTGGGGTACATGATTTTCCAGGTTGTAAGATTTTCAGCAGTTTGAAGACTACCTTCTTCGTGATTTCAGTGGTTTCCATTAAGGAAAAGTTAAAAACAATATCAGCGCCCAGAATCGCATCGGAAAACAAAAGATCTAAAACTTACACAAAATATCTGCCTTGATCAGGTTCGACTGTGTCACATCTTTTGCCTCCCCATATGGCAATGAAGCAGGGATCTCCTAAATTCTTCTAGCCCTCCTCTTAACGTGAGAGAAAAGGCATTTGAGACATTTCAAAGAATCGTCCACTTATGACTTTTCGCACGCTGTTCAGTTTAAACTGATGATAGACCTATACTTATTTCAAACCTTGCAATATTCGAACCCAAATGCTTTACTGCCTGTCGCTATGAATGCATCCCATAGGCGTTTCCTCCATTTTATTAACCTTTGAGTTTGCCTGCTAAAACAAGGTGGCTTATGCGCAGGTCCCCAAGGCGTATATGGTGAAGTTGCACCAGCATATCTATCCTTAAACCTTTCCCAAATTTTCTTTACTGAACCAGTCAAAATGAAACTATTCCCAATCTTTGAAGTTTCCAAATGTCAAGCATTCGGGTGAGAATGAATTAGCTCCTGTAGACTTAAACATAATTATAACACGATCACTACTAGCTAATAGGGTTAACTATTTTAGTTCTGTCACTTTTTCACATTGATATGAGGAGGCTGGGTCTAAGATTTGTGGCTTATACGTTGACTCAAACTTTACACTCTGAATGAAGGTGCTCTAAAGCAGTCAATAGCAAAGTGTTATGAAATATTTGCCCGACTCAACTATGGTGAGCTCTTGACAATTAACATGAGGTGCATTTAAGTCTCCTAAAATCAGTAATCTTCTGCTAGTGCCCTCTTTTTTCTAAAGTAGTGTAGCACGAAGCCATCTCAAGGAAATTTGGACTCTGATAAATTATCCCTATTGTCATAACACCTTGATTAAACCTGAATTCATAGCTGGCAGCCTCACATGTGCCACTGCAATGAACCTCAGAAGTAGTCGAGTAATTCTGCGGCTTATCATGAATATATAGAAATATGCCGCTGCTGTTACAGGCCATAACTCTATCTATCCTAATACACGCACAACCTGGGATGAGTAGAGAGGTATCCATATCCATCGTTAGCCACGTTTCAGTGACTGCTACTACATCCAGGTTTAAGCCCTCAGCCGTCACCCAGCTCAGGAATTTCATGCTCAAAACTAGCAACATTAGTGTACCAGATCGAAAGACTATTAGCACAGACGTCTAACGAGCAAATATCGGCCTCAGGAACACGGTTTGCTGATCTCAAACTACGGCCCACATATACACAATCAGGGAAAACTCTAGAATAAGAACTGAAGTTCTGTTCTCTTTAGAGTAAGGTCACATGCATATCTTTTGAGTGCAGCCGAGTCTGTCAACTCCTCTATATTCCAAAGTTTCGAGCTATATTCTGTATCTTAAACTTTCAAAACAGTTTAAAAAGTACTTGATGCCGTTCCAACATCTCTGCTTATACTGCTCGTCACCTACCGATTGTTCTTCGATCTCCGACGCTTCTTAAAGACTTTCATCTGTTAAGATCAGGGTGCTTTCAGGTCTCCGCACGCATCAATATTTTGATAGGTTGCAGCGTGCAAATTTACAACTTGCATTAATTTTAAAAATATTTCTTGCTAAATACCATCCGGATGGTATACGAACTAGTATGGCGCCACAGCACTAGTTGGACGCAAACAATTAGTTTCTTCAAAGTATACACAAAAAGGGTTTCAAAAACATCAACATGATTCTTAATTTCAGGGAAATACCAGTGCAGTTTTGAGTTTTAAAAGTTAAAGTCCTTGTCAGCATTTTCGCAGTAAAACTCACGGCCATTCCAAGAATAAGGGCAAACTCGAAAAAAGCAAAGAGAAATCCAAAAAATGCGAAATCAACAGGGTTTTTAGTGAGATCCTTCCTTGTGACTAGCTGTTTTACCCCACGAAAATGTTAACTTAACCCAGTCATCTTCGAAATTTTGAGGAAGATGATTGCGTTTGCAAGTGATAGTTGCACATATTGAAGCATTTTTGAATCTTTCCAGTCTGATGAATTCCGATATATATTATCAGTTTGTATCAAATTCGTAGTGCTAGTCAATATGGTCCTTAGAAATTGTTCCTACTACACCTGATTGCCTAGTTTGTCAAGAAATACTCAAAAGAAAAACTCATATTTTTATGTTCTCAGTAATGGACCTACAGTCTTACCAGTGATCTGCAAAAGAAGTAAATTGCAAACAGGAAATAAAGACAATGAAGTAAACATAATTAAATACCCGCTTCATCTAAACAATCACGGTCTACAGTTCGACCTTGAAAAGGAGAATTGAATAAGAAGTGTTTCCAAATGTTTCCAATATGTTTATATGTTTGACGAATTTGTACCATTAAGCTGGTTTCTTCAAACTACCACCTGAATCTTAAGGGCGGTTATCAGTCTGTGGTGGATCACTGTGTAATAGGTCCTGCCATCCACCCGGGTAGTTGTTACGCTTTCATTGAATTAGCTGGAAAATGAATCCTTAATCCTGGAACTGCGGTGCCTATGGGTTCCTGAGATATCGCATCAGCTAATAGTTGTCCTGAATCGACCCACAGGGAATGTAGGGAGGCCTGGGAGACAGCAAGACAAAAAAGGAGGAAAGTAAGAAAGAAAGCAAGTAAGAGGTAAGTAAGAAAGAAAAGTAATATGCAAGGAAAATGCTGGGTACGTTCACAAAAGACAGGGAAGAACAGCGAAGGACTTAAATAAATAGAGTTGCGCTGTAGAGAGTGAGGGGTTGAGTATGCGGCGGTAAAAGGTAGTGGAGATAGGTGAAAATATCATGACATCATTGGCGATGATGTGGTAATTGGAGAGGTAAAGTGTCTTTCGGCGGGGTATAGGGCTGACCCGAGCCTATATTGATAACGGCAATGGCATGGAGTAGATACGGATGCGACGGTATGGGACTGACGCTACGTCAGCATGTTTCTTCGGCACAGGCCACATGCAACCAACATGACGACAATCTGTGTGTACCTGCTTAGCTGTCCGAGCTTTTCCTGAATCCGCTGAGGGGTAGAGATGTTGAAACCCCAACAGGTAATAGAGTCTACTGGTCTCAGATTCGCAGAGTGAAGGTTCCAACGCAAGCGGAGTTTCGCTATTTGGAGGAAACTTTGTTTTCGGCTTCTATAAGATAGCCACGGTGGCTATTCAATAAAATTTCAGGCAACTCGGTTTGGGCCCCAGCGTGATTGCACTTGACTACTGATACCAAACCTTGCTATTTTGCAAATGGGAAAAGCATGCTAGACTGCGAAAAGCCTTCGTACTGTTCAGGAAAGGTTATGTGAACAAGGACTTGGGGGTCGTAGCATTCTGTGCAGTAGTCACAGTCTGCGAGTGGGTTATCGCCTCAGGACCTATCCTTTCGGGAGCCGCGTTGAACATCAGTGATTGCTCCTTTTGCCAACTTAGTCCCTAATATGTTCGTCCCTCATGCTCTCCATAACTCTTGACTACGCTGGTAGAAATCCCGTACTTCAGTGGCATTTCAGGTTCATTCTGTGCTCCCCTTTGATGATGCGAGAGGGATGCATACCTCTGCTATCGTAGGGGCTTGCGTTTGTCTGGTAAGTCTTGAAAACGTTTACAGAATGGACCACAGGGGGCACCTGTATATCGCTTCAATGCAGACGGCGGAACTGCACTTTGGGTAATGTCGGAGGTTATTGGTATGTGGTAATTGGCATCTGGGTATCGAGCTGTATGTCACAGACCATGCAAAAAAATTTCAAAACTCCACTTTACAGAGGTCTTTTGCACCAGGACTTTATGTGACGCATGCTCCCTAACTGGCAAATGCTCCCTATGCTATGGATCTATGGGCTCTTGAGGTCTTGCTCGAGGTGTTTTTGCAGTAACCGCTTGTCCCTCTGCACTTTGGTGTTGCATCCATTCCACAGAGCCATGCACCCACTATGATCTGGCTCATTCGAGAATAGACTTGTTGAACTGCTTCCCTTTCCCCCTTGCATGATACTCTTACAAATTCACTAAACACGATTACCGTTTCCCTAAGAAAAAGCTATACCTGTGAAAAAAACGGAAATTCAACCATGTAACTTGGCGTGCATTATTTTTATGTGATGCAACGTCTCCCTTCCGTCGGCCTGGGGACCACCACTACCTGAAGTGAAGAAGAGACAGCAAACGACATTGTCAATGACTTTTCGCCACCAACAGCAGTGACCATATCAGTAAAAATGATGTGCATGCGTAAATTCAGGAATAAATATTAGTTCCATTGTTATCTCTGGGAAGTCCGTATTTGTGCCATAGCTTAGTCACAGCCAGTAGGTCCGCTTCTTAGGTGTTTTTCCCCTAAGGGGGAGTTTGCAGGAGTTATCAACCTGACAAAGTTCCCCGCCGTTTCCCCTGGTGGCCAACGGATAATGAATTCCACCTCTGTGGCCATGAATCCGTCGACGAATGTTGGTTCCTCACCAGTTAGTCTTTCGTGTGGTGGAAATGACAAAGATGGGATCCCCACCGTGACAACTATTCACCGACTAATTAGTGAAATATTAGCTCGGTGGGATCACTGTTGCAGAGAGGCGTTCGAACCTGTGCATTCCCTGCTAGCAGGTGCTCGTCACTAGAAAGATATGCTAGTCCCGATTGCTCTCCAAAGCCATCACTGGATCTGCCGTGCAGCCAAGCCCCTTGATTCCATGTTGACCGTCCCGTAGTAACCCGCAGTGGTACTGATATTGCTTGATGCAGTTATCGATTCTGTTCCACGTCGCTAATGGGCTGTTGCGTCAATTCTGTGGACAAGTAATTAGTGTGTTCGGCCCCAAAGCTGTCACATTGAGCCTGAAGGCTCTGTTGGAACAGTGTCAGTAGCCCGTTTTATTTCGACCTGGCCACCGATGAGCATTCTTACTCCACCTCCCCATTTGTGCTTCGTATCTATTCCGAGCCGAATCACGCTATCTATATTTGCTTAGGATTCGCCAAAATCTAACGATAATCAAGTTTCTGTGAGGGTCGATTTTGGGAACATGACGAAAATAGTCGGATTCTGGCTTAGCCAATTTCTCTCAAAGTCCCTTTATACTGAAGAGGAAACTTGGGGGCGGTGTTTGCGAACTAGGGTATTTCTATGGTAATATAAGTGTAAAACTTGGGCACTGTGGTAGAATGTGATTCCATATTAGATTTGTCTATTCGATATATGGCGCACAGTGATACAGTATTATTTACTTGATTACGTTTCAAGCACAAATTATCGCTCATAGTCACACTTCCTTCGATATCTGACTTTATGGTCCTGTCACCTGATTTTTACTTGTTTTTTGTTTTTTGATTGGTAGTAGAGTTTTCCATATCTCTGGTATAGGTGTTGCGTCATTCCTATTACATGTGTTGGGTGTGGATTCGGTGAACAAAGACTCAGCAATTAATCTCTCTCCACCTAGCTATATTAGACTTAAGTACAGTGGTTTTGTTTCACCCTATTGTGTGGTTGTGTGTTAATGAGTGTAGTGCAATGGCCGAGTGTCTTTCCAGATTATTGATCTTATTGGGGCCTGTCGTTCTATATTTAGCTAAATTCCTATGTCCATAGGTCAGACTAGCTGGTCGGGGTCAGTTAGATTAGCAGAACATCTACACGGCATCAGACATGACGACTGTATCGGAGAATTCGTGGTGGAAATTGGGGGGACCCAGCATGCAGAAGACAAACAAATTGCAGTCAGGACTTGTCGTGGAAAACTTTGACTAAGTGGGCAGTTAAAGTATAATGCTGGTTACCGTGAGATCCAGTTCACTGGCGCACACTATTTAAACGATTCAGACCTAGATTTTTTAGAGTTAGACTGGCTTGAGGAGTTACGGCTGGCGGAGATCCCCCGAATCAGTGTATGTAGTAAGGTCGAAGCCATAGGAGCCTCAGTATTGCTGTAGGAATTCAAGATGTTGTTCCCGCCTGGACTGGGCCCCTGCAACTCCGTGAAAGCCGTCCTACAATCGCAACCTGACGCCACACCAGTTTTTCACGCCCAAAGACTTGTTCCATACACCCCACACCGAGTTGTGGAAACCAAGTCGAAACAAGTGGAAGGAGCTGGACTCATAACCGCAGTAACATATTTGTCGTTGGCAGCCCCTACCGTGGTCATCAAAGAGGTAAATGGTTCAATCCGTATTTGTGCCGATTTTTCGACTGGCCTGAAAGCAGCTCTAGGACAGAACTACCCGCTTCAGATGACTTGTTAGCAGCCCAACTTGTGCGAAGTTTTCGTGAAGGTTGATTTGGCTGATCCAGGCCTGAGGGTTGAAGTTTCGAATGAGCGCTGGGAGCTTTGAGCGATAAAACACACTGAGGGTTATTTCAGTGCAACAGGTTACTCTTTGGAGTCAAAGCTCCCCCCGCCATATTCCAGCAGTTGCTGGACACCAGCCTGGTTGGCATTTAGGGAGTGGTTACTCATTTATGCGATATACTGGTAGCCAGTCTCCCCTGAGGAATTGAAAGAACGAGTACAGCCTGTGCTACAGAAGAGCCCTGGCAACGGACTAAGACTGACAGCAGATTAATGTGAATTTCTCCCACAGTCCATAAAGTGTTTGGATTTTATCTTTGAAGGGAGTGGATGACGACCTAACTCTGAGAATATAAACGTCATTCGACATATGCCGGTCCAAAAAGACATGCCGGCGCTCCGCACCTTCATTGGAGCGATTGGTGACTACTCAGCCTCTCTCCCATCATCTCGAAATTTCCGCTAGCCACTAAACCGCCCATTACAAAAAGATCGCCTGTGGGTTTAGTTCAAAGAGTGTGGTAAAGCCGTCGAATGCCTGGAAGAAATCGCCACTTACGAATTGTTCCTTACGCATTATGATCACGAGCTACCCATTATAGTAGCGGCAGACGCCTCAGCTACAGCATGAATCTCCTGATGGGGTGCAAATGGCTGTGATCCATATCTCACTCTTCCTGTCTGCAGTAGAAAATCGACACACATAGACAGAGGAGGGGGCACTTGTTTTAGTTTATGCAGTTCAAAGGTTACACAAGGCGGTGTACAGTAGAAGGCCCACCTTGCTAGTAGATCCCTAGACTCTCCTTCCCATATTTGGCCCAAAAAGGCATCCAATTCCACTCTGCAAACGGAATACAACGATGGGCGGTGATCTTACTGAGGTACGACTTCAACATAAATTTCGCCGAACAGAAGATTTCGACTACGCAGATGCTCTCTTCGTCATAGCGAGCGGCTG